GGCCCAACCCCACTTGGCCCCCCACAGGGAAAAACCCCCCCCCCCCCCCCCCCCCCCCCACCCGAGTTATTAATATAAGCCTCCAGTTTCGTTAACCGTTAGGCTTCCTGGGCACATAAGTTTAAAACAACTTTTGTTCAATGCTCCCCGGTATTAATATAAGCTTCCAGATTCGTTAGGCTTCCTCGGCACATTAGTTGAAAAAAACTTTTTTTCAATGCGTTAAATGTTATGTTGTGTGAGTGACTAAAGAAACAATGAATAAAAAATGAATAAAATAAAAATATTTTTTTACTCTCTCGATGACTGTGGCCCTGCAGTAAGCAATTTCCTTACCTTTTTAACTATCGCTTTTTATCTAGCAGAGCTCCTCGGCTGCAAAAAGGAGGATCCTTGGGCCCTTGTTCGAAAGTTAGAGGCTCAGCTTGCTCAGGAAAAGTTCTTCCATGAAAAGACTAAGACTGATCATCAATATGAAGTCAAGGTGAAATCACGTTACTTTGTTTAAAAACACAGTTGCTTTTCAGTTCTATTCTTGATGCCTGCGAGAGCTGCACTACGTTTTAAGAGGCGAGTGAGGTCCACCTTTCGCTTGTTTAGACATATTTATAATTAAATTTCCACGCTGGAACCCCATAGGAATGAGTGGATAACCTGGCACGCCTTTTCATTTTTTCTCTCAGTTTAATCGTCATTCTCAAACTTGTCCTCATTGTTTTCATGCGGCCAAAAAGCTACTGCATGAGTCTTAAAGGGGCACTGCACTCGGCCATGTTTATGAAAGGAGTTATCTTCCCAAGGACCCATAAGTGTCATGTCCGTTTTCAAGGAGCGCTAAGATGAACATCTAGGATGACAAGAACTGCCTCAAACATTATTTTGTTATTGTTGTTGTTGCCCATAACAGACTCTGCAAGCAAAAGTCAAAAACTTAGAAAAGCAAAGGAAGATTTTCCTGGAAAAGCTGGAGCAGAATCCAATTGAACAGCAAAACAAACTTGAAAAGGAACTGAATGATACTAGCAGGCAGCTGAGAGAAATCACACAGAAACTTGTGGTGAGTATGCAAACTTGACTGTCTTGAATTGGTTGAAAGTCATTCTGATTCAGTAGCACAAACAGTATTGCATTTGGCTGGAAGTCGGCGCTAGCACAACTCGATTAAGACTTAAAAGCTGAGTTCGATTGATGTGCTAATTCACCCAGCAAAGAAGCACAACAAATTAAATAGAAGGCTATAGTAGGCTCTTTTATCAAGCTCTCTCTCTTTGAGCTTAAGCCCCTAGATGAATGATAATAATAACCAGTCTCCGTGTGCGCTGCTAAGTTAACTGGGTACGACACCGTCATTTTTCGTGCTATCTTTTTTAACGTTTTTTCCATGCCTCTACACGACCACTGGATTCAATTGAAAGGTACTAAACTGTGCTTTTTCTAAACTAAACTTAAGGCTGTTCTGACTGACTAGGTTGTTATAAATTATTTGTCTGGACTTCTCAATCAATTTGTGACTATTCAGATTATTGAACTTTGTATGTATATGATAGGCTCAGTCGATGGTTTTACGTTTTTCTCTATGATTTCGCTCTGTAGTTAATTCAAGAAGAACAGTTTAAGGCAGTTGAAATTGCGGTCAATGACTGTCGTGACCTATCGGGAGACAAACTATTAGCCCAGAAAGATTTTACTTCTGCCGTGAAACAGCTGCTAATCACTAATACCAAATACATGTAGCTTCAAGAAAACAAAAGAAGATAATGGAATTGGTGCTTACTGTATAGTAGTGTGTATTAGCGTTAGCTCCTACCTATTTCATAACTCTAAACAAGCCTATCAATTATGAGACCAGAGATACCATCCTCAACTGATTTTTCGAGCCATGACTTCAAAACTCTTACGTCTTCACCTAGTTATCAGGCCAGCCTTTGCGTTTATGAGCTGCATGCATGCAATTGTGAAGGATCATCCCACTGATTAACACTTCTGGTTCGTATTTATTTATTGGTTTATTCATTTATTGAATATTTAGAGCAGCCAACAGCAAGTCGNATCCCACTGATTAACACTTCTGGTTCGTATTTATTTATTGGTTTATTCATTTATTGAATATTTAGAGCAGCCAACAGCAAGTCGATAAACTTCTGCGGTCCAACAGAGCAATAAAGAAATCTAAAGAGAAACTGTCGGAAGAATTTTTAGAAAGAATTAAGAACAAGAACGCATTGATCCAAAAACTTGAGGTAAGTGTATGAAACATGGAGATCATCCCCATTGCTCCTCTTAAATCATATGTTTTCTTCTCTATTCCCTCCGTTAGTCTCCAGATCAAATGAAAACCATCAGTGATACCGAATAAACTGAAATACTAAATCGCCCCATGAGGTTAGGTAATGCAGAGATTCCAGAATCCGGGAAATTTTTCGGCTTGTCGGGAATTCGGAAACCTGGGCTTTGGAATCCGGAATTCAGCTCAAGGAATTCGGAATTCCGCTAGCGATTGGAATCCGGTAGCCAAGTTCCACTGACTGCAAATAATCCGGAATCGAATACCTGAAGACCGAAATCC